TGTTAGAAGTGTCGACAAGGTAATCATGTCCTGCTCTAAATATATATATCAACCTTTCTGCAATTATAAAGATAAAGAAGTAAGTCATAAGGCAAGGGGTATTGAAAAAACTGGTAATATTTTTAGCGAAAATGATCCACAAGAACAAAAAATCAATATTGGTCGACTCTTTATAAGAGTTTTTGCCCTTAAATGACATTTTTTACTCATAGTTTGCGTTTTTGCCTATTATCTAAAAAAAAAATTTTGATAGAAATTTAAATACTAGTAGCAGAAATTATCATCATTACAAGATCTACAAATATGTCTATATTGCAGAAATTTGTGGGTCATTTTTTTATATAGGAGTTTGATGATGATTTTTTTAACTCTTAAGAGCTTCTAGATTCAGTCGGTGTTACATTTTCCTACAACTTGCAAACATGAGACTTAAATTGGAAAAAAATGTCTTCGCCCTCTTTGTTCTTATGTTCTACCTTTACACCACTGTCCTGGTTAGGGGATTTTTGAACACAAATAAACATATGAAACCCATTCATTTTCTATATTTGCCTGTCTCCAACCTGTATTTCAGTGGTTGTCGTCTGCTGTTGTCAGTCATACTTGTTTCTTTTTTGTTTTGTCAGAAACCATGCTGTTGGTTATTTTCGTTTAAATTGTTTCTCATTTTGTCATGTCGGGGCCTTTTATAGCTGACTATGGGGGATGGGGTTAGCTCTTTGTTGAATGCCTTAGGTTGGCATATAGTAATTGTCGCTTAATTCTGTTTCATTTTGAAACTGTTGGAGACTTGTCTGATGGGGAATCAAATTACATCTTCTTGATTTATATAAACTGAATATTACAGTATATTCATGAGCAGTTTTATTGAATTGTGAAAACCACTCGGATTCTTAAAAAAAGTATCTCCTTATCTGAATAATTTAGATTTTGGTCACCATATTGATCGCATCTACCTATAAAACTTGAAAAGGATGCCATTTGCTGCATACCTCGATCTGTATGTTAAAATCGATACCGACAATAAATTAAATTAGTCATTAAGGTTGAGTTATAATCAATGCCTAAATTTTTAAAAAAACCAGATGAAATCCTGAAAACTGAGTCATTGAGTCCAAAGAAAACACTTCGTGCTTTAAATTAATACACCAAACATTAGAGGCAACAGTTACACGTCGTGTGAATCTTAAAATGATGTATTTTCCATTTTTGTAACTGTTTGGAAATTGAATATGAAGTTTAAAACCGCAATATCATAAATATTTGACTGAGACATAAAAAATCATATAGGAATCGAATTTGCGTGCATGAAGAATAACTCTTGGTTCGATTGTTTTTTTTTTTTTAAATAGAAATGCAACTTTGGTGAATAAAGCATCCCTTTTTCTGGAGTGGGAACACATAACTACAAACAGTGTTGTTTTAGAAGTTCTTCCCAATATTTCTATTGGAGATATACCTTGGATTTTTCAATCTGTAATATCCCCAATTCTGGACTGCTAGATGTGCTCATTATGAATTGCTCATAGATTCAGTTCAAACCATGCACACAATTTAAGCATAGTACTACTAAGATATTTTGATAACAATTATTTTACAGCAAAAATACCTGAAAAATAGTGGAGATACAACACTATAAAAATATTTTTCTCTGAACTAACTATACGAATATGCTATAATAATTCAAAGGAATTGTAGTTCTGACAAAAACTCGTAGAGTGTAGAAATCTAGTATTATTGGAAATATACCATTGCACTTGGATTTCAAATATTTAGCTTTCTCCATTTTTATCAAAAGTGGATATATAACACTATAAGATTCAAAAGACGACTGTAGTTTACCAAGGTTCAAATCTAAATAATCTATTCAGAAAATACAAACAAAGGCAAAAAACCGATTAAATCGCGTGAACACAAAAAGGAACAAGACCGGGTGCGTCGACTGGGTAAGCGTCGCCTGCGCATGCACCATAAACAAAAAGATATATGTTAATGTATTAACATAAAACTGTACCGTACACCAAGATAAATTCATTAAGTCTTTTGATAAATGGTCATCGAAATTTTGATGTCTTGTTAGCAGCGGTCTGTTCATAAGTTTTTTTTATCCAATTGTATCTGCTTATTTCCTTGAATTCTATTAAGTTATAATTTGTATGACCCCGCCGTAGGCAATTGGGACATTAAGTGTTACCCTTGACCGTCCTTCCGTCCGTCCGTTCCATTTTCGTTTCCGAACTCTAACTTAAGTTTTTCTCATCCAAATTTTATGAAACGCATATACAATGCTAAAAACCAAAACTTTCAGACATAATATGAATTTGGGCAGCGAGTCACTCACCATTCTACAGATATGACCCTTTATAACTTGGAAAATTGCATTTTTTTTTTTCGTTTCCGCACTCTAACTTAAGTTTTCCTCATCCAAATATCATGAGACTCATACACAATGCTGAAAAACCCCAACACGCAGACAGTGTTTAAATTTTGGCAGTATGTCATTAACCGTTCTAGAGTTATGTCCCTTGATAACTTGGAATATTGCATTTTCTTTTTCAATTTCCGCACTCTAACTTAAGTTTAATAGTCTCATACACAATTCTAAGAACCTAAAACACTCAGACATAGTTTGAATTTGGGCAGTGAGTCATTTACCATTCTAGAGGTATATGCCCCTTCCCAGTTTTTAATTTGGAAAATTGCAAAGCTTTAGCGGGGGCATTCGTGCCCTCAGACAATTTTTTTCTTTTATTTAAACAATTGCTATTACATTTGTAATACGTTTATATTTTACTAATTTCTCTTTTCATATCATGTCCTCTATTATTTGTTTTTCTTCGTCTTTTGACCTATGATTTGGCAATATGCGAGAAAGATAAAATAGATAAAATAGCATTTTAGTAGGGAGTATCTTGATGAAAATATTAGGTTTATACCATTTATTTAGATGATAATGACAATTGACACTTTCTGGAAAAAAGAATTATGCGTTACTTACCAAACGCTTTGAATAGTAATTTTTTTTATCTTATAATTGATTTTCTCTATGGAAGAAAAAGAAAACAAATCTCTCTTATATAGTTTCTGTTTGTTGATATTATTTTTACGTGCCACATTTACCTATTTTGGAAATAATTAGGGTAAAATTGCATGGTAATTGTATTTGTTTGTATTTTCTCATAGGGTCAAAATTAGTAGTAAATTAACTTAAATTTGAATAAAAAAGTCAAAATATGTAAAACACCAAAACATCAAATCCAATGTTATTGCATAATTGTTTTGTAAACAATAAGTATATAAGGTTTGAATTATTTTGGGTTCGATTTTTATATATAGGACATCTCCAACCAAAATTAATTCGTGTTTATCCGTCAGACAACAAATCGATTGACTTCAAATAGAATTTTTGATTTTTTTAAAGAATATTCCTACACATCTTTTTAAATACATATTCAAACTTTGCAAAATTCTATCAAACTGCAGTTTTGAGCAATCTTTATGCATTCATGATTTGATTATTTATTCGGAAAAACGCCAAACTATCGGTAAGCTTTTAATGTCCATATAATAATCTAAAGTGCTGTGAATTTTAAAAATGACTGATATGATGCTCTTTTCCAAAATGTACTTAATAAATCAAGGGATTTGTCTTTTCTTTTATTTATTTACTGATGAATTCTTTAAAGAAATCATCATTTATTTTGTGTCTACTTTAGAAACAACAACAGATGTATATGATGATCAATTTATTTCCGAGTCAATGAATTTTCCCGTTTTTTTCCACATGTTAATACATGGAATCGCCTGTGGTCAAATTGTGTATTACTTCATTGATGAGATCAATCAAGGTTTATTGACATATATTACAATGTTTACAATCCTTTCAAAACATACATACAAAATACTTGTGAAATGACAAATATTGTTGTTCTCAGGTGTTCATTCTGTGACGAAAAAATAAAAGAAAATAAATGATGATGATGCTTAAAAGTAAATTTAATGTTGTTAATCACATACTCAATCAATTTCTAATCGATCATCGACACTGTAGAATAAGGATCTTGTATTTTAGTGCGTAGTTTGAGATAAATAAACAGTATGAATTAAAACATAACGGAAAAAAAATAAGGTGTCCAAAGTTCTAAATAAAGTTCTAATAGATATTAATTAAAAATTCGTTTATTTTGTCACTAACACGTTCATTTTAAACATACATGTAGTTATTATGCCTCAGTCACAAAACAATCTTACTTGTTATTACTGGTTTTTAAGCTCGGCTTCTATTTAGAAAACGTTGAAAAATACAATTGAAAGAGGATCTAAAGGCCGTACATTAATAAAACATTAGCATAATTTTCCCATTTTCATGATGAGTGTAGCATTCTTATCAGGGTCTGACTGGGGTTTACAGAAAGGAGAAAAAGAGATATAAAGAATAGAGGAAAATATTCTTAAAATGTAAAGAATTCATAAATAAAGACCTGTCTTGTGTCTGCAAAATACTTCTTCCTATGCATGACGCCAGGGTAGGTAGGAAAAGCCGGGTAAGACGTGTGTGGTATACCATATAATTTGATAAATAAATATACATTTTAATTTGTGTTACACATTATTAAAAAAGATTTCTTATCAAAGACAATGCCATGCAATATCAATATCAGTGGGATTCAATCAAGTTCAATGATAATCATCATGTTCTGATGAATAAAACCAGTAGGTAGTACTAAGAACATCGCTATTTCCATCAAATCTGCGTCAAGAAGTCTAGTGACTAAACTGCCAAAATGACATCTATCCTCTTACTAACAAGGTAACAAGTGACAGTCATCATTCGGCCATTACATAACGTGACACCTTCATTATATCAACCAATGAAATGTCTTGTAATTAAATGACGCGTACAACATATAGTAAAACGTAGTATTAGCGTGCGTAATTGAGAAAAAAAGCAAATATAAAAGGAAATTTCTTTGACATTAAGACAACTGGAAAAAAGCTTTTGAAACGATAACAGCAATGAAGACAAGAATTTTTTCATTCGTATTTGGAGTTTTATTTTTATATAGTGCAAATGGTAAGTTTACCTTTAAATTGTATCACGTAAATTATAAATTTTTCTCTAAAATATGATTTGAATAAATAATGAAAGGTGATGAATATAATACTAAGCTTGATGCGCTTTTCTATATTTACCTTTATCAGCAACGCTTATGCCTTCAAAAAAGGAGGTTCGCTATGGATTAATAAAAATGTAAATACATGTAAATGCAGTTGATATAATAGTTTCGTGTATTTTTGTTTTTGTTTTTGTTTTCCATTTGTTTAATAGAACAGCGTGTTTACTTTGCAGTACTCCCAATTTATATCAAATCCCAAAAAAACACGTGCTGTGATTTTGCTTCGATTAATTAGAATTTCTAGACGATTTCATTCATGACCGTTGCCAAAAATTTGATTGCAGTAACTTACTACGCGAGTGATACTGCCGAGTATTAACAGTCCAGCATCAGTGGTTTCTAACATATAAGGTGGCAGTAACTCCTGGAAGATCGTGCCAGTCATTCTGCTTTCGATGAACACTTCTTGATTTAATTAACAGATTCAAAATATGGGTAGGCTTATACTTGAAGGTTTATATGAGCAAACGATTCAGGTAAAGTCGTGTCAAAAAATGTTGCTGTGTATATATACAAAATTTGCAATGGAAAGGGAGATAACCAAATTTTACTATTAGATTCTCTCTCTCTCTCTCTCTCTCTCTCTCTCTCTCTCTCTCTCTCTGTACAAAATAGCTCTTGCTTTTAATTGGTTCGATAAAAAGTCTATTCTATTCTCTACAACACAGGACAACATCTTGCACAGCTAACGTACTGCTGTACTTGTTTACCTGTTTTGATGACTTTATGACCCGTTAATGTCGATCTCCATATCTCACTTTATTCACATGAAATTTAAAAATTTATATCAATAAAAAGGCAAATATCTTTAATTATTTTCCATTTAAATTTTAGGTCATAGATATCACAGCTACCGCAGATATGGGAGGCACCACGTGAAACATCGACCAATTAAACCAGAAGGGTCGTTACTTCCAATAAATCCACCTGTAAACATATGTCCACCGCTTGTTTGTCCATTGATTGATATTCCTAACGAATGTCGAAAGGAAATATATACTAATGTTTATGGAGTACTTTGCAGAGGATGTGACAAAAATATATGCGAAAATAATAAAATAGTTCCAGACATTACAAAAATTCAACCGGACAATGGACCAAGTAGAGGTGACATTCCTAAAGTTCCAAAGTTTTTAAATCAAATGACCGGTAAACTAAGTGGAAATTGGCTCAATGCAAATCTTAATCCAAAGCCTGTATATATACCAAATAATCAATTCCAAAGCAATAACAACATTCAATTGCAAAACAATTTACCGGTGTGGCAAAATAATTTGCCTGTTAACACGCAGTGGACAAATAATGGGCCTCTGGATACACAATGGCAGAATAATGTTCCAGCAAATATCCAATGGAAAGACAATGTACCAATCAACTCTCAGTGGCAGAATTCAGTACCAATGAACAACCAGTGGCAAAATAATGGAGCTGGCAACAGTCTATGGCAAAATAATGGAGCTGGCAACAGTTTATGGCAAAATAATGGAGCTGGCAACAGTTTATGGCAAAATAATGGAGCTGGCAACAGTCTATGGCAAAACACTGGAGCAGTAAATACACAATGGCAAAATACTCTGCCCAATAGTCAATCGCAGATCACACTGCCGATCAATCAAAATAACAACATACAATTTCCTGTTAATAATCAATGGCAAAGTGCGCCTGTTTTTAGACAACAACCCAACACACTTACTGTACTAGGAACTGTAGTGCAAGGTTTGCCGTCTTCAAACACACCGCTGGTACGTGGATCTTTCCAAGCACCAAACCAATTGCAAGCTGTACCACAATTCAATCAGAACCCATCAGGTAGTTCTTTGCCTGTTTTCAGAAACAACCAACAGATAGGGACTCCAATATCTGGTCTACCTATTCAACTTACAGGAAAAGCCGTCAATTCGGTCCCGATTCGAAAAGAAAGTGATCAAAATGGGAAAACAGTTGAATCAGCTCCCGTACTTATAAAAACTAGCGAAAATCTTGGATTTACCAATCCACTATACGATGAATTACCGTTCGTTAAAACTATTGACAGTCTAAATAGTAAAGTATATGATGCGAATACACCCGAAGCTTTAAGCACCAAAGCTGTAAATTCAGTTGTCGGGATGTAACCTATAAAGTTAACCAAAATGTCATAGTAGTGCTTAGTTCTTACAGAAATCCAAATGTTTTAAAATATCGATAGTGAACCATATTTAATGTAAAACTTTTCTATTATTTATAATAAAATTAGTTAAAAATGTGAATGTCAATGTTTGCCTTCCTTGTTGTTGTGAATTACAGTGTTTTTGTGGAGGCTGTGATTTGCATTAAAAAAATCCTTTACAGGAAAAATAACGATTTTATTCTTTTAACTATTGAAACAAATGCTTTTCGTACGATCCCGTGTATATAGATTTTTTAAAAGGATTTCACCTTTCACAATTTGTTTTTTCCAAATGAATGTATAAGAATTTACAAAAAAAAGGACTTGCGACAGATTTTCTCATTGACTAATAATATTTATAACTTGATATCGGTATTTATGAACCCGGTCAAGCACAAGATATAGACTTTTCATACAAACTATATAAATAACATTTAATATCATACATATATTTACTAGATGTTGTTACACATATATTACTGGAGAAATATTTTTTTTGATAACAATTATTTCAATTTTACAAAATAGCTAACAAAAGTAAGCCCCTAAAATCATCAGTTAAATTGTGGGGGTCATCCTTGTTTTTAAAAATTGGAACAATCATAGAGATTAATGAATTTACTCTCAGAACATGTATTTTGAATACAAGCGTATTTATAGGACAAAGTTCACTTTTGGCAAAATATGGCCTTGAATTTTTATTTTATCAAAAAATATCCAAATGTCCACACTTTGATTATTAATTGGATCTGTTTCAAAAGTTTTAATGCTAGGTAAAACAAATATCTTCAGTAGAGTACTTGTATAGGCTGCAAAGTCAGCACACTTCTGAGATATTATCAAAATACGATGATTTTGTACATTTCAAGAACCTGAAAAATTCGAGAAAACGTTGGTCGCAAATTACAATCCAAGAAGTTCTGTAACCAAAACTTTCCAATCTTTATATTGATTCCCTAGACACAACAATGTTCTGGGTCGGGGCGGTGGGACTATGCTAAAACTGTTATGAATTATTGTGAAAATGGATCAAAACTGACGTTACAACACAAATACAGCATATTCAAGGGGTCATGTAATTCATAATGTGATGTGCCAAAAAGAAGTTATATTTTATAAAAGTTATATCTCAACTACATTGTATTTCTATGTAAAATTCGTACTATTTTGGTCAAGATGAAACATCATTAAAGATACATTTTTTTTTAAATTATGGGCCAGTTTTAAGTTATCCTTAAATATATAATGACACTTGTTACAACTTGACGCATGCTTAAATATTTCGCCACTTCCATATGTTTTATCATTTTCAAACCTTGTATACCTCCTATTTTCTCATTTTCAGTAAAACAAGTAACCTTGTTATTTTCAGTAAAACAAGTAACCTTGTTATTTTCAATATCTAAACTAGTAACATTATTTGGATCAGTATTGTAAAAATTGATTACAGTAACTACATGTTTTGTATAATAGAAACAGCTTGGTAAAAGAGAGGCGGAAGAAGCCCATACAAAGTGACAATGCTATCGCAAAATACAAAAAACAAAACGAAAAGATGTTGCTCCAGTAAGATATGGAGTTCGTTTGCCGTTATAAGTAAATGTTCTTCTGTACAAAAGAGGCGGAAGATGCCAAAGAGAGAAACAAAACTCATAAGTCGAAAAGAGACCGACAAAATCTTGGCAAAAACGAAAAACGACGAAAAGACAAACAACAATCCACAAAACATTACATACAAAAACTTAAGACTGAGCAACAAGAACCACCACCAAAAAATCGTGACTTATATCATGTGATCCAGAAGTGTAAGCATATCCTGCTCAACATGTAGCATCCGTCGTGGTGCTCGTGTTAAGTACAAACTCGTCCTTACGTTCCATTCGGTGGTTTCACTAGTAATGTTGTGTATACAAAGCATATGTATACTCTTAAACACATCTTAGAGGTTAAATTTACTTTCAGTTGTTCTCACTCTGTAAATATAATGTTGTCGTTTTGTTTATTTGGAACCACGTGTTTTACAGGTGTTTTTTTTTTTTTCTTTTTCTTTTTGGACATTCTTTTTAATGAATAACAATCATCCAATTATAAATCATTATTTGAATGTTTTGCTTATTAGGCAAAAGTAACACCTTGTCGTTACATACGCAGGTCAATGTATTACATGTATGAATCACAATGGATAAAGAAAAGTAACATCGGCTTGTATATATCAATACATTTAATAATTGATAAAAAGAACACATTATTACAAAAAATTAGTCTTATCTGCACTAGTAGTAACTTTAAGATATAAGGATAGTTTTCGTTTATTTTTCATCATTTAGCTGTTGTTAAAATATTCGTCTCGCTATATATATATATGACGTTATGATAAGAATTTCTGTCAAAGATGTCTTGCAAGTCTTGCAATTGCTAAACTTCATATTGCATGGATACACTCGGGTACTAAGTAAAGATGCGATCATTTAAATAAAGAGCGTGTCTTTGCTGGGAAATATATTTGTATCGCGCACAAATAAAAGCAGATTATTTAATCTCAAGTGGTTGCTTCTTAATAGTATTGACCTAACGGCAGTAATTCTTTCAATTAATTTACGAAACGATTTTCTCCAAAAAGTAGAACAACAAAGACATGCTTATGCTCATCAGAAAAAAAAATTTTGTACCATTATAGGATTTTTTTAAGTTCCTAAAATTGCCCTGTTCATATTCGAAAAAAGTGAAACCCACCAAAATATGTTAAATGTTATGTAACTTTGTCTTCAATTTGAATTTTGATACCTATTTAATTGTGCACGACACGTGATTCCTTTATCCCCTCTACAAGGTACGCCCGAGACGTTAAATAAGTCACATGGAGGGGGGGGGGGGGGGGAACAATAAAACAAAAGAGAATAATAGCAATCAAACAGGAAGGCCAAATTGTCTATGCTCAATAATTTTTGACGGAATTGTAACCATTGTTTTATCGTCGATGGTCAGTACATATCTAATTCATTTTGTTAATTTTAGCCAATTAGTATTAAAACTATAAAGTATCGAATAATAAAAAAAGACTAATAGATACTAATGGCTGAGTCAATCGTTATCAACATTCAATATTTACTTATTCTTGTTATTCAAATTACTTTGGAGACATATGTTTTACCTAACACAAAATCAATTCATAAAGTAAAAATTATTTATATTTTTCTGACGTGTTGCATTTCATACTTAACTCTAAAGTGGAAATAAATAAATGACATCCGATCGGCTGTTTTTATGCATTTCGTGTTCTCTTAGACCTTTAACATGCTAAACAGGTCAAGCTCCAACCTCTTGAAAGTGGAAAGTACCTAATTTAAACGGAAGCCGCTTTATAATTTTGTACTTTGTCTAATTACAAACAAGGATTTTCGTAAGCTAATTACACCGAATATGCTACAATGATGTACGCTGTATAAATCGTGAATGAAACGATGCAAATTAAAAGGAAAAAATAATCAAAAAAGAAGATGAAAAGTCTGGTGGTTGTTGTGAACCTTTTACTTTTGATTTTTAAAACTGACGGTAAGAATTTTGTTTATTATCAGAATTTAATTTCCTGGGCTTTCATATTTAGTTATAAATGCTTAGTTTTGTTATCCAGTTCTAAATCTCTGAACAAATCTGTCATGAAGTGTAATATACATTTTTTTCGTTGTAAATAGTTATAAGCTCTCAGTAATAGAAGTACAAAACAAATGTCACCTTCTTAGATTTTTGCAGGTTAGACACAATAAAATAGACAAACAAACAAATATTGGTAACTCATAATGTAACCAGCTACGCCAATTGTTTTTGCATTGATGGCTGTCCTGATTATTATGATTGAATAGTTTTAACGTCAGTGGGCAGTGAACGAGAACATGATTATGTAATACATGTATGCATGCGGGCTGTCCACAGGAAGACAGTGCTCTTATTGCTACCCCCAGTACCCGGGCACATTATTCTGACTCCGAATCAAATAGTCTTTGCCCTTCTTATAGATGCGTATAATTAGAGGAGTAAGAACAAATACATATTTTCAAGTGTTTCGTTTGATTCGGCCGGGGATTGAACGAACGACACTCAGCACTCGAGTCGAGCACACTTCCACGAGGCTGTCTTGTTTTGTATTTGGGTTGGGGCTTTTTTTTTTGGCATTGACAATAAATTTATGGGGTGTATATACTTTGAAATAATCAATCCATAAAAGGGTCAGCTCTTTTATAGTTGTTCTTCGTCTAAACAGACAAACTTTGCTCTTAATTCATTGAGCAGTTTCAGAGGAGAAGATCTTTAAAGAACTGTTTACGGAGGAATGGGAGGGAGGGACGAACAACGGAGGCAAATTGTTGGCAAAAGCTCACATGGCCCTATATATATGGGCCTGATGAGCTGAAATTACCTTTGTTTTCAGTCTAGATGCACTTGATATGCAGCTTATCATCAACCATTTAACGAAGAATACACAATGTTATCTGAATTTTTGAAGGTACAAATTCAGATTAATTTTTTTAAACTTCGGAGCCGATGGGGAAAATGAGGTCAAGGTCACACGAACCCTGCTAGAAAGACATGTACACACGATTTCTTCTATTCCTTTCGTTTTACTGTATTGTATCTTAAATCTAACACAAGTAACCTAGTCCAGTCCTAGATTTGAAAAAGGTAATTTGACTAAACTTTTATGTTTTATGACATGCATAATAGTTTTCTGTTTCAGTTTTAAATTTCTTATTCCTAGATGGGGATATACTAAGCTTCTTATGTTACTTGAGTTATAAAACTTGAAGAAAATGTTCAACTTTGTAATAATGTTAAAGATGTTTAATATAATGCGTTGAACAATTATATATTCGACGAACTGCTAAACATACGTATAACGTTTTCATATCCGATGCCAGATATTACAATTATGTAATTGTACCCATTTTAACGTGTATCTAAAATAAGAAAACATTTCACACACTAAGATTTGTGTGTAAATCTAATAATCTCCATAGAATTATAAAGGTTGGTTAAATTTCTGCGAATTGTTGACGTACAATTGTTACAAATTTTTATTTTCTGAAATTGTTTTTTTTTTCTGTT